GTGTGGCGCATGTGACATCAATCATTTGTAGAAGAAACTGGAAACGGATTTGGCGGAAAATGCAAGGCGCTTTCTTTTTTTAACGCGCCGCCAATAGACATCTGGCGCAAACCGAAAGCAACTGAGCGCGACACATGTGACATCAATCCCTTGCAATCGAAGACCGCAAGAAACTGGAAGTACGAAACATGTTGAAACACAAGGTCCGAACCGAATGCAGCTGAGCGTGGCACATGTGACATGATTCCCTTGCAGTCGAAGACCTCAAGAAGCTGGAATTACGAAACATTTTGAAACACATCTGGTCCAAACCGAATGCAGCTGAGTGTGGCACATGTGACATCAATCCCTTGCAATGGAAGACCTCAAAAACTGGAATTACGAAACATTTTGAAACACATCTGGTCCAAACCGAATGCAGCTGAGCGCGGCACATGTGACATCAGTCCCTTGCAATCGAAGACCTCAAGAGACTGAAATAACGAAACATGTGGACAGACATCTGCTGCAAACCGAAGGCAGCTGAGTGCGGCACATGTGACATCAACCCCTTGCAATCGAAGATCCAAGAAACTGGAATTACGAAACATTTTGAAACACGTTTGCTCCAAACCGAATGCAGCTGAGCGTGGCACATGTGACATCAATCCCTTGCAATCGAAGACCTCAAGAAACTGAAATTACGAAACATTTTGAAACACATCTGGTCCAAACCGAATGCAGCTGAGTGCGGCACATGTCACTTCCATCCCTTGCACTGGAAGACCTCAAAAACTGCAATTACGAAACATTTTAAAACACATCTGGTCCAAACCGAATGCAGTTGAGTGTGACACTCGTCACAAATGCAACCTGCTGGCCGGTCGAATCCTGCTTGCCGGTTGCATCCACAGACAATGGTCAAGTCGACATGCAGAAGCCCTGCCTCGACGGGTGTTCTCGACAGGCTCGATGTCTAGTCTGATCTGGCCTTCGACCTGATTTGCCTTGAGGATCTTTCTCCGCACCTCATAAGAAACAAAGCAAACCCAAACATCGCTTTCCCGAGACGCTGTCATCAACAAAGAATGAAAACAAACCGAGACCCTTCTCGCTCCCGGACGTTGAAGCGCACAAGCGCTCAACGTCCCTCGCGCCCCAAGTGCACAAGCGCTGGAGCACGAGCGGAGCGGAAGGAGTCTCAGCGTTGATTACGAAGCAGCTTCAAACTCATCTGGCCCAAACCGAATGCAGCTGAGTGCGGCACATGTGACATCAATCTCTTGCAATCGCAGATCCAAGAAACTGGAATTACGAAACATTTTGCAACACGCTTGCTCCAAACCGAATGGAGCTGAGCGTTGCACATGTGACATCAATCCCTTGCAATGGAAGACCTCAAGAAACTGAAATTACGAAACATTTTGAAACACATCTGGTCCAAACCGAATGCAGCTGAGTGCGGCACATGTCACTTCATCCCTTGCAATGGAAGACCTCAAAAACTGGAATAACGAAACATTTTGAAACACATCTGGTCCAAACCGAATGCAGCTGAGTGCGGCACATGTCACTTCATCCCTTGCAATGGAAGGAAGACCTCAAAAACTGGAATTGCGAAACATTTCGAAACACATCTGGTCCAATCCGAATGCAGCTGAGTGCGGCACATGTCACTCCATCCCTTGCAATGGAAGACCTCAAAAACTGGAATTACGAAACATTTTGAAACACATCTGGTCCAAACTGTGACACTCGTCACAAATGCTACCTGCTGGCCGGTTGCATCCTGCTGGCCGGTTGCATCCACAGACGATGGTCAAGTTGACTTGCAAAAGCCCTGCCTCGACGGATCTTCTCGACAGGCTCGATGTCCAGTCTGATCTGGCTTTCGACCTGATCTGCCTTCAGGATCGTGCTCTTCACCTCCAATGGCATAACAAACAAAGCAAACCCAAACATCGCTTTCCCGAGACGCTGTCAGCAACAAAGAATGAAAAACAAACCGAAACCCTTCCCGCTCCAGGACGTTGAAGCGCACAAGCGCTCAACGTCCCTCGCGCCCCAAGCGCACAAGCGCTGGAGCACGAGCGGAGCGGAAGGAGTCTCAGCGTTGAGTACGAAGCAGTTTCAAACTCACCTGGTCCAAACCGAATGCAGCTGAGTGCGGCACATGTGACATCAATCTCTTGCAATCGAAGACCTGAAGAAACTGAAATAACCAAACATGTGGAAAGACATCTGATGCAAACCGAAGGCAGCTGAGTGCGGCACATGTGACATCAACCCCTTGCAATCGAAGATCCAAGAAACTGGAATTACGAAACATTTTGAAACACGCTTGCTCCAAACCGAATGGAGCTGAGCGTGGCACATGTGACATCAATCCCTTGCAATCGAAGACCTCAAGAAACTGAAATTACGAAACATTTTGAAACACATCTGGTCCAAACCGAATGCAGCTGAGTGCGGCACATGTCACTTCATCCCTTGCAATGGAAGACCTCAAAAACTGGAATTACGAAACATTGTGAAACACATCTGGTCCAAACCGAATGCAGCTGAGTGCGGCACATGTCACTTCATCCCTTGCAATGGAAGCAAGACCTCAAAAACTGGAATTACGAAACAGTTCGAAACACATCTGATCCAAACCGAATACAGCTGAGTGCGGCACATGTCACTTCATCCCTTGCAATGGAAGGAAGACCTCAAAAACTGGAATTACGAAACATTTCGAAACACATCTGGTCCAAACCGAATGCAGTTGAGTGTGACACTCGTCACAAATGCAACCTGCTGGCCGGTTGCATCCTGCTGGCCGGTTGCATCCACAGACGATGGTCAAGTTGACTTGCAAAAGCCCTGCCTCGACGGATCTTCTCGACAGGCTCGATGTCCAGTCTGATCTGGCTTTCGACCTGATCTGCCTTCAGGATCGTTCTCTGCACCTCCAATGGCATAACAAACAAAGCAAACCCAAACATCGCTTTCCCGAGACGCTGTCTGCAACAAAGAATGAAAAACAAAACAAAACCTTTTTCGCTCCAGGCCGTTGAAGCGCACAAGCGCTCAACGTCCCCCGCGCCCCAAGCGCACAAGCGCTGGAGCACGAGCGGAGCGAAAGGAGTCTCAGCGTTGATTACGGAGCAGTTTCAAACTCATCTGGTTTAAACCGAATGCAGCTGAGTGCGGCGCATGTGACATCAATCTCTTGCAATCGAACACCTGAAGAAACTGAAATAACCAAACATGTGGAAAGACATCTGATGCAAACCGAAGCCAGCTGAGTGCGGCACATGTGACATCAACCCCTTGCAATCGAAGATCCAAGAAACTGGAATTACTACGCATTTTGCAACACGCTTGCTCCAAACCGAATGCAGCTGAGCGTGGCACATGTGACATCAATCCCTTGCAATCGAAGACCTCAAGAAACTGAAATTACGAAACATTTTGAAACACATTTGGTCCTAACCGAATGCAGCTGAGTGCGACACGCGTCACAAATGCAACGTGTCGGCCGCTTGCGCACAGACACGAAGGTCAAGTCGATCTCCGGAGTCCCGGCCTCGACCGGTTTCTTCGCAAGCTCCATGTCCAATTTGATCCGCTCGGATAGCAAAGGCCAATGACGAGCTGACAACTGCAAGCACAATTACGGCGCACAAGTCCACAGCAAACAAACAACAATGCTGCCGCAAAAACTGTCTTAGCCGCAGCGCGACAGTTTTTGCGGCAGCATTGCTGTTTGTTTGCTGTGGACTTGTGCGCCGTAATTGTGCTTGCAGTTGTCAGCTCGTCATTGGCCTTTGCTATCCGAGCGGATCAAATTGGACATGGAGCTTGCGAAGAAACCGGTCGAGGCCGGGACTCCGGAGATCGACTTGACCTTCGTGTCTGCGCGCAAGCGGCCGACACGTTGCGTTTGTGACGCGTGTCGCACGCAGCTGCATTCGGTTAGGACCAAATGTGTTTCAAAATGTTTCGTAATTTCAGTTTCTTGCCGCAAAAACTGTCGCGCTGCTCGCTAATGTTTTTCCTCGATGTCGCAAAATGCACAGCCTTCGTCCAGCCTTCGGCTTGGCCTTCGTCCAGCCTTCGGCTTGACACGCTCCGCACCCCAACGCGGAGCATGGCTGCCGCCCCAACGCTATCCCCTACTCCCGCTCTACTTCAAAAGCTGGTGGATCTCTTTCAAAAGCATGCGGGAATGTTCTCGACTGGAGATCCGCTGCGCTCCCCCGCAGGTCACATTTGTCTTGGCTTCACCACCCCACGTGTCCGGCTTGGCTCGCAGCTGCAGCTCGAACATCTCGTCGTAGTATGTGTCCTTGAGCGCTTCTTCACAGATCTCCTCAGATTGCTGGCTCAGTTCGACAATGGACTCGGCGGTCGAACCTAGCACTTTCTCGGCAGCTGGGTGAAAAACTGTGACCCAGCATGATCCGAAAGCATCAGCGCACATTCAGCCGCGGCCCCACCTGCGCAGCACAACTGCATAAACGCAAAATGATCGCGCGCAATCCCGCCTTCCCCGACTTCTGGCACATTCGACAGTACCCGGTCTCGTCAACTCTTCGGTTACACTGCAGGTTGCCGCCATCTTTCAGCTCCAGGCAGGCCATGTAGTACAAAGGCATGGCCTGCCAATTCAAATGTGTGACACACCAACTGCATTTGTGCTTTTTGTTCTTTCTCTCTCTTTCTCTTTCTCTCTCTCTCTCTCTCTGTCTCTCTCTCTCTCTCTCTCTCTCTCTCTCTCTCTCTCTCTCTCTCTCTCTCTCTCTCTCTCTCTCTCTCTCTCTCTCTCTCTCTCTCTCTCTCTCTCTCTCTCTCTCTCTCTCTCTCTCTCTCTTTTATATATGTAGATGAATATACATATATATATACACATTTAGAAATATAAACAAACAAAAACATCGCGCCTCGTGGGTTTTTTTTTCGGAGTTGTAGCGACCCAAGTCGGCATATGAGCGTATAGTGCTCCCTCACAGCCTGCTGCGACATCGCTGAGATCTCTACCGAGGTCGCTCTTTGTGGAGGTCGAAGACTACCAGCTGGCTGCTCGAATGTGAGATGTAGGTCAATCTCTGCTGGTTGCCTCCCTTGTACCACCAGGCGGCTACCCGCTGCGCCTCTGGCAAGAAGGTTGGGTTGAGTATCATGGATCCTGCTTCCGCCATGGAGCCGCTTCGACAGCTCATCCACTCCTTGACCTGAACTCCTTTGAGGGCTACCACGGGGCTGCCGGCAAACTCGCGACTATCTAATCTGGCTCTGTCACCCCACAAGGTAATCAGCACGCTGTGGCCGCTGTCGTCTGCCACAGTGATCTCTCGCTTGACTAAAGCTTTTCCTTCTTTGGTCTGAAACTCTTGAGGGTGCTCCGCTGAAACGATGACTCCGCAGATATCCACGCTGCTAGGCACAGCCATCTGTGTCACTGAAGCAATCTTCTGCACGGCTAGACGCACTGCTCCGATGTCAGCGTCGTCGTCTACCATGTGTATCTGACATCTGCCGTCGAACACCAGCTCGTAGCCATGCTTGAGCACGCTGTACTTCTTCTGGGCAGGGCGCACGATGCCGTTGCACAGCGTGAAGCATCTTCCGCACTGCATGAGATCATAGTGCTGCTCCGCAGCTTCGTTGAACAAGCTTGCACGAATCTCGCCTCCTTCTCTATCCAGCAGCTCCACTGAGAACACCATTCCCTGCAGGCTGACCAAATCCACCAAACTCAACCAGTCACTGCAAACCTAACATATGCGAAGACTCAACAACTCCCTCGAGCCTGTCCAGCACCATTCTTGTTTTGGAACTGACGCAGCTGTGACCGGCTGGTCACTCTGCACTTGATGGTCCACTTCGGACCCACCCAGGTACTTAGCTCTCTGACTGGAAAAAAAGCGTGATGTTCGCTCATGCTGCAGTTTGCTTCGAGCAAAACAACTAACTAACTAAAGCCAAAAACACCTGCGAGCCGCTGCCAAACACAACGTGTGAAAGACAACACCGCCCAAGCACAGCACACGGACCGTCAACTCTCATTCTTTTCATGGCTCGGTGCTCGATTTGCACTTCTGCTGCGCGGGACCGATTCTCCGCTAGCTATTCCGTGTGGAGCAACCTTCGGCTGAGCTACTGACCTAGCCTTCGGCTTGGCAATCCGAGGAAGCAATCCGAGCAAACCGCTCGCGCCCAAACGCTGCCGGGGCGTTTGTCTCCCAGGCGCCAGCCTCGGGAGACCATGTCTTCCTGATGGACCAAGTCGTCGTCGCCCATAATGCAATTTTTGGTGACATCCATTTCGCGGCATTGCTGGCAGACGACCGCGTACCGGTAGTAGCGAGGATTGGCTACAGGTTCACATGGCCACTGCTCGTCTCGCACAACCAAAAACAAAACATCCCTCGTCAACTCTATGACAGCCGAGCCGCGGTGCAATAAAATGCTGTCGTCTCTGTCAAATCCCGAGAAGTCATGTTGATCATCATATAATCTTTAGTCGTCACATTTACGAAATCCGACGACTCGCCTACTGTTGGGCGCAGCTTCTTTCATCCGCTCGTCTGGCCGAAGTTGGCTTGGGCGGCGGCGACTTCATGACGGCGCCTGGTGGGATCTGCCGCAGCACACATGGCGGCGGCGCCTTGGTTGGCAGATGTGTCGGCTGCACGCAGGGGGCTTTCGCCTTTGTCTCGAAGGCTGGCGGCTGGGCTCAGCAGGTGTTTGCGTGAAAAAAAACGATGTTGGTTGCTGCTGAGCCGGCGCAGCCGGCGCACAAGGAGAGGCCGCGGGAGTTGGGAAGCTTGGCGGAGCCGAAGGAAACACCAGAGGCGAAGAAAACAGATCACGCGGGCGAGCCTGCCGCGGCTCTGGCACATGCCAAGGATCATAATCATAGCCATACCCATTTGTCGGCTGCCAGGCAGGCTGGTGCTGTCATAGACGCTCAGCTAGGTATGTGTGATCGTAGTTCGCACCACCTGCCTGACCTTCGGTCTGGCTCTCACCCGTCCTCCCGCAGGTTTGCTGAGCAGCAGCTGCATCTTCGGTCTGGCCTACGCTGGCTCGTGAATACTCAGCAGGCGGCCGACGAAAGTTACTTGGCACCTGGCTCGAGGCTGCCGCTTGGCCGGGCAGCTGCGGCGGCCGATCTTCGCGAACTCTCTGCCGTTGGGCGCTCGCGGCAGCAGCCGCCACCGGCATGGCACAGCTGCCAGCCCGTTGTCAATGGCCCAGCAGCGCAGCCAGTTGCATTGCGTTTGCGCTTGCTGCACCAGCTCCACAAACTTCGGCTGGGTTGAGTTGAGCGGACTCGCATAATGCAGTGGACCGCACGGTGGCCACAGCCTGCCTGCCTGGTCCGGGTGCACCATCTTGAAGGCTCTTTTCACACCCGCTGCGATCCCAGCTTCACTGGCATCGTGCGCTATGTTCATGCTGCAAAATGGGCATGCCATTGCTTGGAGCAGGTAAATGGTAGCCTGCTCACTGCTCTGGCCAAAAAGCTTGCGGTCATGCACAACTACAGTTTCAACTGTTCGTGATGTCGGGCGCGAACCCAGCTGTAACGCTACAGAATGCTATATAAAAAAAAAAAAAAGATACCCCCCCCCTCTTTATTTACAGCATTCTGTAGCGTTACACCTGACCAGTGGCATCCTGCAGCACACGACTCACATTTTACACAAGGCAGCAGCTCACAGTTTTGCTACAGCTTAGCTTGGCTTGGCTGAGCTTTGCGCAAGAATAAGGCAATGTGCTTGACACGCAGCCTCATTTGTTGGTGGTGTCGTCCACTTCTTCAGCTGCGTTCTGATAGTCTTCGACATCAGAGGCAACTTGAACTTCTTCGGCGGCTGGCTGCGCTTCGTCCGCAGTGGAATGTTGCCCACCTGCAGCTGGGCTTCGCCCTGCCGCCTCGGCAGTCGAGCTTAGCCCTGCCGTCGCGGAGCTTGCCTGTCCTGGCTCAGCAGCTGGCTGCGCATCCACCGGAGCGTCGTCTTGCCCCGCCGCGGTCGTGGATGGCTGCTGCCGCGACATCAACCACTCGAGATCGGCGGCACTCAAGCGCCCCGCAGCCCTGATGAGACGACGTCTCTTCCTTGGCTGACAGGCTTTTCACAATGCTAACAATGAATACTCAACAAAGCAATCAGACAAGACGCCGCATTTCCAACTTCAGCAACTTGGACTGCTCACGAAGCTGTCGCTTCAGATCCGTGCGACGACACTTCATCTCTTCCACATTCATTGCAGTGGGCGCGGCTCAGGCTAAAATGCGACTGAAATGGCTGTCCGACCGCTTGCTGTTGCTAACCGTGCCTGCACCTAGTGCTTAACGCTACCGGCAGCCTAAAACAAAGCCTTGCCTGAACAGCTACTCCGAACAAAATCCTTTTCGCGCCATAGCCTGCTTTGCCACGTCCTGCCTTGGGCAGACGCTTGACGCGCAACAGCGTCACTGGGATTCGCGCTATCCGCCCAAGCCAGTGAAACTCACAGTGGGACTAGGCGACCAGGACCCGCCTTTGGCGGACGCCGTCGGCCCTTCCTCTGCAACACTGTTTTAGGGGATGAGTTGCGACCCCCGCAGACACGTCTCTGGTATGTTCATTCACAGTAGCGTTGCAGTAGCGAAACAAACGAGCAAACCTCGGCCTGTTGGCAGCGCAAAAAAAAAATGACCGGACTTCGTCCTGTCCAAATTTGCTGGCTACTCAACTCGGACTGCATGCTCAACACACCGACCTCCAAACAGTGCTTGATAATGTTGCATGCCAAAACGCGTCCGTGGCCAAACCAAACACAGCTGCTGGAACGTAGGCCGCGCTCTGTTGGTAATGTGAGAAATCTGCAGAGCTTCTAGATGATTCGTCAAGCACCCGCCTTCGAGACACAAATGCCTCCGTCCAGGACTTTTCTTGAAGCCAGCCAGGGACCCTGGCCAGAAGCTGGATCCAGTCGCGCACTGTCACTTGCTGCTGCGTCACTCTCATGCGCTGAAACTCCTGACTTAAACGCTGCTTGACAGAGGCAAAGACAAACACGTCTGCCACCTGCAGCAGCGGCGTCATGCCAGCTGGAATGATGACGACTTCCAAACAACATGCCCTCGCAAAGCGCAAAGCCGGCGCAATGTGAGCACTCGCTGTGTCCAGAAGCAGCACTGGCTGGCAGAATTCTTTGTACGGCTCGCACACTCGATTGATGCGGCTCACCACGCGCATCATGGAGGCGCCATTACTCCACGACGACTTGCATCGCCACACCACAAAGTTGTCTGGCAACACCAGGCGATTGCGAACTCGAACCGCTAAACGATGAGTGTTGCAGAGCAAAAAGCAAGGCCTGCAGAGACGGCCGGTTGCAGACAGTTGCCAAAAGCGAAGCCGTTCCTCGCTTCTCGTTTGTTGAAACTGCAATTTGACCGCCAGATCCTTTCTTCACGACTCCTGTGACTGGCTTGATGTGATACGGAATCGGCGTCTCGTCGATGTTAATCAAAAGCAAAGGCTTGCCCTGGTGCTGAGCTTTCAGCTGAGTGTGTCGGAGCCATTGCCAATACACTTGTGCCTGCATACCCATTTTTGAGCACAAGTAATGAACCTAGTTTGCGGGTCAACCATTTTTATGAGCTAGTGGTAGTTCATTACGACCCTCTTTTTGGGGCTAAAAAGTGTACCCATTTTTGGCGTCACTAAGAAGCTCAAAAAGCTGGCGCAGTCTAGCTTCCTGACAGACCCAACTCCACTGCAAACACCGCAAAAACAAACGAAGCCATCCTGCCTAGTTGAATCTTCACTATAGCCCACAATCGATTTAGAGGTCACGAAATACAAGTGCAAAGGCATAACAAAAAACACCAAAAAAAAACTTCAAAACAAGGTACCTTTGCGCGTTTTTGCGCCAAAGTCAGCTCCACCTGATGCAGACCAATTCTGCGACGCACGAACTTCCACTGCTTGCAAAACCGCTGCGTCCAGAGTCTTCTGCCGCAAGTGGTTCTGCCTTGCAACCGCTCGTCTTCTGGAAGCATTCGCTGATACATCTCAAACACCTCTAGCGAAGCCGAGCGTAGCCAGCAGCGTTG